TGAGGGGTCTCTGCCCATAGCAGGCCGGGAATGCCCCAGCCCTGCAGGGCTGGAAGGGCTCTGGAGCGACCTGAGGGGTCTCTGCCCATAGCAGGGCTGGCACCGGCTGCGCTCGGAGCTCCCTTGTCCACCCGAACCATCCCGGGCTTTTCTCTTGCTGTAAAGTGAGAAATAAATTCACTAAATACAGCCGGGCTGGTTGTGGTTCCTTCTGAGTGTTTTTGCTTGCTTTGTTTTACTGAGCAAAGAAAAAATGAACCTTGTTCTCAAGTGCATTTTGGATGTCAGCTGGAGTTCAAGCTGCTGTGCCGAGGTTAGGAATGAACCTTTCTCAAGGGCATCCTAAGCACTGTGATAAAATTCTTAAAATTACATCTTGCTGTAATGCTGAGATAGAAAAAGTTGAAGGAAATGAGAATATTTTGGTTTTGTAGCACCTAAGCTGCCCTCAGTATCAGTTATTCCTGGTGCAGCACTGGCTGCTTTCTCCTGTGTTGCATTAGAGGGATGGCAGAGGACAAATTTAATTTTTTTTTTCTGTTTGATAATTTTTTTTTCTGTTTGATAAATGTTCCTTCCTCATCCCTGTGTTCATACAGACACAACAGAGGGGGGCTGAGGAATGAGAATAAATATGTGAATTCAGTGTATGATTTTGTAATTGCCTTTCCCACAGAAGCACAGCCCAAAGCGAGGCCTGGTTTTGCCTCTGCTAAGCTGAGATTTTTCCGCCTTGCTCCAACTCCTCAGCTTCAGATTTTTCATGCAAAAAATTATATTTCCATGCTATTATATTCCATATGATATTATTTTCCATATATTTCCACGATAAAAAGAATATTTTCATTATGTGCCAGCTGAAGGCTTAGGGGGTGCTTGTGAAGGTTTCCGTGATCATTATTATGCAGAACTGAGAATGCAAATGAGCTTTATTAGTGTTCTGTATTTAAATGTAATTAAATAAGACCATTCTGGGGGGTTTTTTTTGCAGCATTTTCGAGGCAGGAAGAACCGCTGCTACAAGCTGGCAGTGAGGAGCGTCCGCAGGGCTTTTGTGAAGTCCACCAAGGCCAGGAGGGAGAAGAAGAGATTCCTCAGAGCGGTAAAGAGCAAAATGTTGGGTGGAAATATCAAAATGAGAGCCAGGCAGGAGTGAAACAGCTGCTTTTCTTATTCTGGGGGGGGTTTATTTTAAAAAAAATCAGTGAAAAGTTGCAGTTTAAAGCAGCATTTTCTTGTGGGTCCCTTCCAGCTCAGGATATTCTATGAAAATATTATAATTTTTATTTATATTTAATAAGTGTGAGCAGACAAGGGTTTATTTTAAAGTGTTTCATCATGCAATATATTGATTTTTACACCTTCAGCTCTGGATCACAAGGATTGAAGCAGCTTCCCTTGAACATGGTTTGAAGTACCCAGCCTTCATAGGCAACCTGGCCAAGGTAAGGATGTGGTTTGGAGGATAATTATTTACTAATTAGAGAGATGAAAGGCTTGTGAAAGCAGTTCCATCCACTTCAGGAACTAAGTTCTGCCCTAAACTATTTCTCTTCGCTTTTATCCTGGTGAACATTGTGGCTCTACCTCATGTTATGTCCCCAAAACTTAGGAATGGGATTTTTAAAATGCTTTTTTGTGGGCATTAAGTGACAGCTGCTTTTCCTTTTTACTTCAAGAAATTTAAAAACACAAAGCTTGTGTTAGCAAAAAACCTCAAAAATCTAAGAAATCCTTATTCTTTTCATGATAATTGTGAAAAGAATTGTTGTCCCCTGTTTATAAAGCAAGCTTGAATTTGTTTCAGTTTGGTGATTCTGTTTTAATTTTTTTGAGCTGAAATAGATGCTATGGATTAACCTGGCCTTGAGGCAGAATTAGAGATTTTTCTTCAGTTTTTCTCCAGAAAAACTTTAGAGAAAGTCAGGAAATAATTTTTACGTGGTGCATTAATGAGACATCCATGGCCAGGGAGTGTCTGACAGTCTTAAACAGCTCCAAATTGCACAGGGCAGAAAAAAGTTAATCTCCTTTAAGACCTCAGGTCTTAAGCCTTAAGAATGTTTAATCATACTTAATGAAGGGTGTTTATATAAACAGTAAAGAGTGTTCATTATTTTTAATAGTGTTCATTATATTTAATACATTTAATTTTATTTAATACTAAAATTTTACTACATTTAATAAAATCTATTTAAATTAAATATATTTAAAACTAAGCATTGTGGTGTTGCTCCTAAAAATCACAGTCCTTAACCAACAATTTTTTCTTGCCTTTAGTCCCAGGTGGAGCTGAACAGGAAAGTTCTGGCTGACTTGGCTATTTATGAGCCAAAGACATTCAAATCCCTGGCAGCTTTAGCCCAGAGGAGGAGACAGGAAGGGTTCCTGGCTGCCCTGGGAGATGGAAAAGAACCTGAGGGGATATTTTCACGAATTGTGCACCACCCCTATTGATATCAGAGCCTGTGTGTGTGTTTTAGAAGCAGGGGTTTGATTGTGAAGCAAAAACCTGCCGTGGGACTAATGCTGAAAAATGGAAACTGTGGAACAAATCCTCTGAGGATCATGTGGGTGTGAAGCTTCTCCTTGATGGCTTTTTCCCTGTGTTGTTGTCACTGAAACCTGTTAAATTAAAAGCACACTTCAAGGTTAGCAGTCAGGCCACACAGTGGCTTAATAAAGGTTTTTTTTTTTTGGTAACTGCTAGTAGAAAATAAACTTTATTTGTGTGGTGAATGCAGAGAACACAGCTGGGATGGGGGGAAAATGTTGACCCTCACAGGTGGAGCCTGGGAGTTAAGGATATACATAGTTTGTACTTTAAAGATTTAATAAAGAGATTTTTATTGAAAACTGCCATGGGGAAAGAATTTGTGTTAATTTTGGCGCTTCATTGGGAAAACACAGCCAGGGGATGGAGGGAAGGCAGGATGTCAACCCTGACACACAGCCCTTGTGTTGAGGACACATATAAGAACTTACAAAGATAATTTTAAGAACTTTGTAAGAACTTATAAATGTAAATTTTTTGGTAATTGCCGTGGAAAAAAAATAATTGTGGTGAGTTCTGGCAATGCACAGCAAAAACCAGCCCAGAGTGTGAGGGAGATGTCAGCCCTCAGGTGAAGGACAAACATAACCTGTTCTGTTAAGGACTTTAATATTAAACATATTTTTGTTGGTAACTGCTACAGGGAAACAATTTTTGTGGTGAAATTCTAGCACTGCATGGGGAAAACCAACCCGGGTGGGGAGCGGCATGTTGGCCCTCACACACGAACCTCAAGTTAAGGACACGCATAGTGTGAATTTTTAGGGAATTAACAAAGATACCTAACTCGGTGAGCGCATGGTGTGTTTTTTTAGGGAGTTAACAAAGATATTTAACTCGGTGACCGCTCAGTTCCAGCTCCCTCACGCCCGTCCCCGCACGGCCCCGGCTCCGAGGGCGCCGCGGCCCCGCCCTGTCCGGATTCCCGGCCGCTGCGTCACCGCGCCGCGCGCGGCCCGGGCGGCGTCCTGCGTCACGGCTTCTCAGCCAATCAGCGGCCGCGGTCCCGCCGCGCTCCGCCAATCGGCGTCGGGCGGATGCGGGTGGGGGAAGGAGACGGAGCGCGGAGCCAGCGAGGCGGCGGCGGCACAAAATGGCGGCGGCGGCAGGCGGCGGCCCCGCGGGCCCTCAGGCGGCCGGCGCGGCTCCCGCCCCGGTACCGGGTCCCGGCGCGGTGCTGATCGGCGACCGGCTGTACTCGGGCGTGCTGATTACGCTGGAGAACTGCCTACTGCCCGAGCACACGCTGCGCTTCACGCCTTCCATGAGCAGCGGCCTAGACCCGGACACCGAGACCGAGCTGCGCGTCACCGGCTGCGAGCTCATCCAGGCGGCCGGCATCCTGCTGCGGCTGCCGCAGGTGGGGCGGGGCGCGGGCAGGGATGGGGCTAGGCTGGGCTCTTCTTTGTGCGATCTCCCGGTTACCGGGCGGGCAGGCCCCGAGGCCTCCCCGCAGTTACCGGCCGGGCAGGCCGCGGGGCCGCTCGGTGCTCGGGGCTCGTTCGGGGCCGCTCGGGGCTCGTTTCGGGCCGTTCGGAGCCGCTGGCTGCCGGATGCGGTGATGTCAGCGCCGCCCCCGCCGCCTCCGCGTGGGGATTGTGCAAAGGCGGATTTCCTAAGGCTCCTCTGCAGCCCCGGTGACCTCGGCGAGGTTTTTGTTTCCACGGAGAATTTCAGGCCAAACAACCTCGTTGCTCTCTGAGAGTAAAACTTTCCGAGCCTTACATATTCAAATGTATGCAAATCATGACGCGATTAGAGTGCTCCTCACTTTCCACGCCCAAAAAGCAAATATTTTTCTGACGTACTTTCATAACTTTGAATTTTATTTGGTTTTCAGAATTTTCTTGTTTTTTACTATTAATTTAATAGTTTAGAGCGTATTTCCACATATTTTATAAAAGAAAATTAGGATTTGCCGTCTGTATTTGACTTGTAGGCAGTATTTAAAGCATTGATAGCATTAATTACTTTAGCAACACAAGTTTTCTTCAGATACCATTAAACTTCCTCTCATGCTTAGTTAATCTTCTGGAACTTAAATCTATTAAATTTTCTCCTTGGAAGTGGCAGTTTTGTTCATGGCTGTTGTGATGATCTCATTTTTAGGTGGCTATGGCTACAGGACAGGTGCTATTCCAGCGTTTCTTTTACACCAAGTCTTTTGTGAAGCATTCCATGGAGGTAAGAAGGCATTAAATGGCATTTGTTGCCATATTTATCTTCTGATCTCTCTTGGCAAGCTGTTATCTGAGTGTGATCAGTGTTAGGAACTTGTCTGGAGTTTATAGTTATAGAGAAAGATATTTAGTAGTGATTTTTGTCACTACTTGTGTAGTAGTGATTTTTGTCAAATATTTGATTTTTTTGGGGGGTTTTTCCTTCATTATCCATCCTTAAACTGTTGTAGGAGCTCAGTTCCTGAAGTGGAAATGAAATAGAGAAAATATTGTATTTTATGCTCATTTTTCAGCATGTTTCCATGGCCTGTGTCCATCTGGCATCCAAAATTGAGGAAGCCCCCAGGCGCATTCGGGACGTGATCAATGTGTTCCATCGCCTCAGACACCTGAGGGAGAAAAAGTAAGCTGAGAATTCAGAATTATCTGAGTTATCTCTGTTGTATTTAGATTATTAAGCTTATTATTAACTATTATTATGGTGCTGTTATTAAACAATAGCATCATTCCCTGTTTCATAAATCAGGAAATATTTCAGAGTGATCTCGTGAAGTGAGCTGACCTGTTTTAATAAATCAATATTTTTCATGTTATAAATAATGATTTTTTTATTATTTTTACACAATTCAACCTGAGTTTTCCTAAGGGTTAAGATGATCATTTTTTGAGTTTGACCTTGTCTTGCAGAAAACCTGTGCCTCTAATATTGGATCAAGAATATGTGAACTTGAAGAATCAAATAATTAAGGCAGAAAGAAGAGTGTTGAAGGAGTTGGGATTTTGTGTTCACGTGAAGCACCCTCATAAGGTTTGTACTTTGTAAATTCACTCCTTAATCAAAGTTTTGTGTTCTGTAAAGCTCTGAGGAGGCTGCCTGGAAGCTCTGTGGATGATGATCAGTGAACTCAGTGAGATTTAGTTTCTTACCATCCTGATGTTTTCTTTCTCATTTAAGAGGCTCTTACTAATTGCTCTCGTATCACTGCTGAGTGACGGCGAGGTGGCTGCAGGTGCTCATTATTCCTGGAAGGCAAATTGGATCAGTAGGTAGCTGTGGTGGTGGAAAACATCACCTCAATTTAGGTTCCCCCAAGCAGGGAGCCATTTGGAGGCCTGGGCTTGTCGTGGTCACTCGTGCTGAGGTATTAAAGATCTCTGAGACACTTTGGAGTGTGTTACAGCCACACTCAGGCTTGGCTAGAACTGAGGCAAGGCTCCAGTAAAAGTAACAGATATCAGAGTGGATGATACTTGAAAGATACAATTGCCTCAAATGTTTAAATTGTGCCTTAGCTGGTAAAAGAACTTGGATTTCTGTGCCAGCACAATTGGGGATCTTGCTCTTCTCTGCTCTAAAAAACTCCTGTTCAGAGCTGCCTTTTTGAGCTTCTTGACATTCAGAATTCCCTTTTGTCACCCACCCCAGAGGGCAGCTCTGGTTTATTAATGGGGTGAATTGTGCCATTATCCTTCCTCTCTGCAGCCTTGTTTTCCTTGCAAACCTGAGGAAAACCCCTCAGAGCTGAGCAAACCCTGGCACGGTGTTAGATCTGCTCTCTGCAAGCACTGCCAGCTTCCCTCGCTGCTGATTGCACCAGGCTGCAGCTGAAAAGGATTTGTGGGGTTTGTAGGAGAACAAAATCCATCCACAAAATCCCTAAATGAAAATCAACCCACAAAATCCCTGAATCAAAATCCCTGAATCAAAACCCATCACAAAATCCCCGAACAAAACCCAGGTGGAGACAAGGCCAGGACAGAAGGGCTCAGCAGGTCAGAGCTGGTGTGGATAAACACTGGGGATGGTGCAGACTCTTGGTTGTGGAGTGTTTTAGGCCTTGAAAGAGGATCACAGATGCCTCATGGATGTCCCTCTGCAATGAGCAGGTGGCTCTGCAGATGCTGGTTAATAACTCAATGACCCATATCTTCCAGATAATCGTTATGTACCTTCAGGTATTAGAATGTGAACGTAACCAACACCTGGTCCAGACCTCATGGTAAGTTGATTTTCTTTGTTCTAAGAGACCAGAAGGGGCAGTAGCAGAAATATGTCACTTGAGGCACTGGGCAGGATTGCTCAGCAGTGCTTGGGGCCACCCCAGACAGCTCCACTGTCCTTGGTGTGCCCCAAACTTCCCAAAAGTTGAGCGGCCTCTTAAGTTGGAGGCAGTGTTTTAATGGTAAGGTAGCTTTCCACCCTGACTCCTCACTTCCCTCCTCTCTGCTCTCACTTTCCAGCTGAAGGGAAAAGCTTGGGTGGGTTTAGAGTTGTTCCCTCGGGGTTTTCTTCAGGGTTAATTCAAGTTTGTTCCCAGTGCTGGGAAATGGCTTTTCCCAGGGCCTGAGTTTGATTTCAGGTGTATCTAAAGCTCAGCACAGATAAATTTCTTTTATCTATGTGGATAATGCAAGATGTCAGCTTCTAAGAGTGGGTAGATGGATAGCCTGCATTCATATTAGCCAAGAAATGTTCTCTACCTTATTGCTCTCATTAATAAATATTTACTCGGGGGTGGGAAGCTTCTGTAAAATCCCACATCTTAGACTTTACCAAATAATCCTTTTTTAACAATAAATAAAAAAAAACCCACCACCTTTAGTGAATCCAAAGACCATATTTCTGCTGACTGAACTGTCTGGTACTGTGAGCTGTGTGTAGAGAACCAGTTTTGACTTTTCTTTTCTGTACTCTTTTGATCAAAGGGTAGCCTCTGAGGGTAAGTGACTAAGACTTCTCCTCTGCTGCCCATGGTGCAGGGATAGCTGCCGTCTTCAGTCAACCCAAAGCTCTCCCAAGAGAAGGCTGGCTCTAGACAGGTGGTATATACATGATAGTAGAGTAACTGGCCAACTGCTTCTTGTGCTTTTATTTTTTTATTTTACTCTGCATTTTTTTTTGATTGTTTGTATATTTGATAACCTGAGCGTTGAAGTTTTGAATTAATTTTTTTTTTAAATTGTTCTATTTCTCTTAACTGTTATAATGTGGTGTGTTTATTATATGATAAAGTGAATTAAGGTGGGGTTTAAAGCTTTTTAAAAGGGATGAATTAACAACGAAAAGTCAATAGTTTGAGAGATACAATTATCTGAAATGTTTAAATGAAAATAGTAGTACATGTGTGAAGCTTGGAGACCAAATGTGCTATTTAGAGACACTTGCCAGAAGCATTGCATGGAGCAGTGGAATGGGATTTTGGACTGCCAGAATCTGCTGGTTATGGAAGGAGAGGAGGGGAGGGACAGGGAGGGAATTACCCCAGTTGGGAGAGGGGTCAGATGTTCCAATATCTCATCTCTGTGCTCGTGTTTGTTGCTTCCAGTACCCAAAAACTGGTGGGTATCCAGTATAACTGGTTTTTGAAATGTGCATTTTTACAACATGACCTTTTTCTTAAGCTATTGTGACAAGGATTCATTTCCTCCTGTGTCTGGCTGAGCCCACAGGGAAGATGTGCAGAGGCCAAACTTGGAATCTGGTGTGGTTCTCAATTTGGCAAATCAGAAAAAAATCACTTTGGAGCTTCCAGATGTTCAAAGTCAACCTTTCCTTTGTAATTCCTTTAGCCAAAAGGTTTGTGCTCTCTTTGCAGTGGGTTTAGAAGTTCCTTTCTCCCAGAAAGATGGGCTAATGTTGCTTTTTTGGGGCAGCAGTTGCTGTTTGTGTAAAGAAGAATTGAGGACAGGTGGGAGTTGGGAACTCTGGGATTCCAATCCCTCCTCTCTGTCCTTGCAGGTGCCTGTGGTCTCTGCTTGGATACCTTGGGGGTCACTGAATCCTTGTATACTGGGTACCCACATGGTTCATTATTATTTAAAATATTATTTTAAGGACTTTTCTTATGTCTGGTTTTAGTTTTTCTCATCTGATATTTTATTGACATATGTGCTCTCAAGTCTAGATCTTCTAAAGCACATCAGCTGAGAGATTCACAGGAATTTACTTTGTGTATTTAAGATTTAACAACAAGTAATGCTTCATTGTACTGACTGGAATATGTGCAATATTTTACAGTTTTCTCATTCTGTGAATATTCATTTTAAGCAACCTTACTGAAATGGGACAATTTGGAAACCTTATTTCATGTGCCACAGAGGAGATCTGCCTGAACTCTGACTGTTCTTCTGAACTGATCTTCCCAAACACCCTGATTTCTCCTATGGCTGACTTTTTGCATCAAAAAGAATTCAGTTCTGGATGGAAATGGACCCTGAAACCCCACTGGAAGTTGAGCTGTGCTGAAGAGGATTTCATTTCATGGCAGAACTGCTCCAGGAGCTGCAGCTTTTACCACACACCTGGTCCTGCCCTGTTGCAGGGGGACATGTGAACCTAAAATTCTATTTCTGAGTATTTCTGAGCACACTGTATGTTGTCTTGATGAAAAGAACTTGTTTATTGCATGAGAGCAGGCCAGTAGAGATCCAGCAGCAAAAGTGAAGTTAAAATTGGTTCTCTTCTCACCACTGAATTTGCAGCAGTCAGACTTTGTTTCTGTCACACATCCCTCCCCTTGAGGGATTTAATTTTTAGTTATTCCTTTTATTTTTCTTGTAGTAAAACCATTCAGCTTCTCTTTAGATTTACAGGAATAGAATGTTGAAGTCTAGTAACTGAATGCAGAAAGAAATAGCCCTTATAGAAGTAAAAACCAAGCCAAAAACCCAAAACAAGAGCCCCAAAGAGCTTTGCAGTGCCTTGCAACCTCCTGCTCTCGTGTTTTTCAGGAACTACATGAACGACAGCCTGAGAACTGATGTGTTTGTGAGGTTCCAGCCAGAGAGCATTGCCTGTGCCTGCATTTACCTGGCAGCCAGGACACTGGAGGTGAGCCACACTTTGATGGATTTGGGGTTTTTTTCAAGCTTTTTTAACAGAAGAAGAAATCTGAGCTTTGTCTGTCTCTCTCTCCTTTCAGATCCCTCTTCCAAATCGCCCACATTGGTTTTTACTGTTTGGAGCAACAGAGGAAGAAATTCAAGAAATCTGCTTAAAAATCTTGCAGCTCTACACAAGGAAAAAGGTTTGGTTCTTTTTCATGTTGGGAGCCCTCAGTGAAGGCTGCAGGAGTTGGAGAATTTGAGCTTGTTTAAAACCACAGCTGCAAGCCTGGAAGTGAACAAAGAGCAGTCAAAGGCTGGAACCCCTTGAATTTTCATTCCTCTCCCTGGGAATGGGTAACCAGGAAATTCAGCTCTCACCAGCAGTGCTCCTGTGTTCACAGGTGGATTTATCTGATCTGGAAAGTAAAATAGAAAAGAAGAAATTGGCCATCGAAGAGGCAAAAGCACAAGCTAAAGGTCTGGTACCTGAGGGAGTTCCAAGCTTGGATAACACATCGGGATTTTCCCCCATCCCAAAAAATGGTAAATAGTGGATAACTTATTTTTAATAACTCTTTCACATCTTTCATGTATATTTACCCTTTTGGGAAGCTTTTTACAAGTGTGGTTTGGAGTTTGTTGGGGATTTTTTTAAGATGGCTCCTAGCACTACTCAACTGGCAGGGTTTGAATAGCAGTAGCTGTGTGATTTCTTGAATCAGATAAAAGCTAAAATCAAATTAGTCTGAAATTAAGACTAGTTTAAACCCATATAGGCCAGGGGCTTGCTTTTATGTGGATTTGGCAGTAAACTCAAATCCTTACCCCTGGCACGTTTTGCTGATGCAATATTGAAGCAGAGCTGCTCTGGCAGGGGTAACATTTTGGGATCTTGGGTGAGGAATTTGTTGGTTGAAGTTTCCAGTCTGGTGCAGTCTCACCTAGAAGACAAAATTCACCATTTTCTCCCCCAGTTTACCCTTTAAACAATGCTGAATAATTGGCAAGGAGAGGAGGGTGGGTTTGCTGCCTTTTCTTGCAGTGACTTCAATACTTTGGCAGAAACGTTTCAGGTGAATTTTTGCCTTCTGTGAACTTGTTGAGATCTGCTTGTGGGTGGCTGTGTGAGCAAAGCCCAGCTGGGCAGAGTTGGGGTCCTTTCAGGTACTTTCCAAAGAGGTAACAAAAGCTTCTTCTTGCAGAGTCTCCAAAAGAGGTGAAAGGAAACAAACCCTCACCTCTACCTGTGCAGGCCATGAAGAATGCAAAAAGGAAAACAGAGGGAGCCAAGAGAACCAGCTCCAGCAGCCCAGTAAATGGGTAAGGTTTTAGAAGGAAACAGCTGATTTTTATCCCATGAGTACTCAAAGCAGAATAACTGAGAGTTCTTTGTGTCTGGCAGTGTCCAGAAAGGAAGAGAGAGCAGGAGTCGAAGTGGAAGCAGAGATCAGAGTTACTCAAGGTCCCCATCGAGGTCTGCATCCCCCAAGCACAGGTAGGGTGTGATCCCAGTCCCTCCAGTCTCATTTCCCAGTGATCCCAGTCCCTCCAGTCCCATTTCCCAGTGATCCCAGTCCCTCCAGTCCCATTTCCCAGTGATCCCAGCCCCTCCAGTCCCATTTCCCAGTGATCCCAGTCCCTCCAGTCCCATTTCCCAGTGATCCCAGTCCCTCCCAGTGCCAGCTTTGACAATCCATCACCAACAGGCTGAGGGGACCCAGCAGGGTTTGCTCCCAATCCCTCCCAGTCTGATTTCCCAGTGCCAGCTTTGACAATCCATCACCAGGAGGCTGAGGGGATCCAGCTGTGCGTGTTCACAGCATTACTGGAACTGGAGTTCCTAAAAAATCAGCGTTTTTACTGTAGCCAGATGGAAGCTTAGGACACAAGATGAGTTCTCATGGTAGAACAGCAAAATGCAGAAGGACATTCTTCAAATTCAAAATGCAAAAGAATGGTCTTAAAATTCAAAATGCAGAAGGGCGGTCTTAAAATTCCAAATACAGAATTCCCTTATATTCAATATTTAATTCCCTTGAATTCTTAAAATTCAAAATACAGAAGGAAGGTCTTAAAATTCAAAATATAGATACAGAAAATTCAAAATGCAGAATGGCATTCTTAAAAATTCAGAATGCAGAAAGGCAATCTTCAAATTCCAAATATAGAAGGACACTTTTAAAATCCCAAATATAGAAGGATGTTCTTAAAATTCAAAATGCAGAAGGGTGGTCTTCAAATTCCAAATATAGAGGGACGTTCTTAAAATTCAAAATGCGGAAGGGTGGTCTTCAAATTCCAAATATAGAAGGACGTTCTTAAAATTGGAAGTACAGCAGGATGTTCTTCAAATTCAAGGAAATGGCAAAATGAGGAAGGACATTCTTCAAGTTCAAAATACAGAAAGATGTTCTTCAAATTCAAGGGAATAGTGAAATGCAGAAGAACGTTCTTAAAATGCAAAATATGGAAGGACATTCTTCAAATGCAAAATGCGTTCTTCCAATTCAAAATGAGGACGAAAGGTCTTAAAACCCAAGAAAGCAGCAAAATCCAGAACGAAGTTGTTGTAATTGAAGACAACACCACGTTTGCTGTGTTTTCCCTTGCAGGAAGAGCGAGAGCTACTCCACGTCCAGCGGCTCCAAGTCCCAGAGCCGCTCTCGGAGCCGCAGCGATTCCCCCCCCAGGCAGTTCAACCACAGCTCCGCCTACAAGGGCTCCAAGGGCCGCGGCTACAAGAAATCCAAGGAGTACA